GACTGAGATACGTATGTATCATTGGCACCCCGCTGTTTTCTTTGCGAACGGGGGTGGCGCTTGGACGTTAATGCGAAACTTGTTGGAGGATGGCGAAGCTGTGGACAAATATGTCAACGTTGAAGGGACGAGGAGCCTAGAGAGAGCTGAAATGATAGACAAAGTAAGGAACCAACAGAGCCAATGGGTGAACGACCTCCATCCAATGGATTGGCAGGAAGGTGCTTCGCCGTACATTGAATATGCACCTGAAATGGAGAATGCGTGGGGTTATTTGGAGAGCAGAGGCTGGAAACTCAAGTTTGAACACCCGTTCTTGGACGGAGCAAATGAGAAGAGAAAGAGAGAAGCTAAGGCCGAGCCACTGGCTCAGCCAGCGGGCGGGCTGCTTCAAGTGCGGCCAAACCGCCTCCGACCTCGGGTGCCCCTCGGGCGCCGAAGCGTCCGCCGCCCAAATCAGCCGGACCTCCTGCGCCTCTTATTCCTGATGGCAAAGGGGGCATGACGGCTGCTGGGTCGGGTGAGGGTCCCCAGGAAGAGAACCCATCCCCGACGGCGCCGCCGCCGGGAAACAGGAATCCGTGGGAGCCATTGTCAGGTAATCCGTCGAAGCCGCCTTCACTCCCCTCTGGGCTTGCTGCGGAGTCATTGGCAAAGCCGGGTGGCTCTGATCGGATACCTAGGGGGCGGGAGAAGGCGCCTCCACCTGATATCAGGCCCCAATGAAACTTTTTATTTGAGATGCTCCGCCTCCGGCCCCAGCGGGAAAGCCGGGGGATGGAAGTTCGCAGGCCTTAGCTGCACCTCCGACGCTCCATCCGAAGGGCCCTCCTAGATTCGATCAACAGGACGAAGAAAAGGAGCTTGTTTCTCCGACAGGTGTACAACATGAGCAGCCCGGCACCGCCAGAGCTAGCCAGCAAACCATCGAGATGGGCGCTCCAGGGGGGCCTTGGACATTTATGCTCGACGACTCGCCAGACCCACCTGCGGTAGAGTCGAAAATCAATGACCCGCAGCCCCCTTTGCCCGAGGGGCTTGAAGAGGGTGGCGGAGCGGGAAGGAGAAAACAATTTTGACATGTTGATGCCTCCGCCCGATTTGGACGGCGACGATCCCGTTTCGTTGGTTGTCAAGACTGTGCGAGATCTTTTGAGCATTCATTTTGGGCCGCAATCGCGCAGAGCTCATCTGTCACTCCGCAACGAATTAATGTGGCTTTTGCAAGCTCGCCCTGGTGGGCTCCACCTCGACGGAGTCAGGGCACTTTCCACTGAAGAGTCGCAATTCTTAAGCGATGACATAATCACTGGGCGCTTCGCTATCTGAAGCAAGCGCGAGAACGGAGGCATGAACCTCCGGAATATTCGTTGCCTTAAACAATTTTGGCGTATTGTTTGCGTAATTTTCTCCAAGTTGGTCATCCTGAAGATGTTCCGTCGGGGGAGCCCCTAACGTCCGAATGGCAGCTGGCCCTGCGGCGTTGACCGGTACAACCGGGAACGACGAAGAGTCAGCTGCTGCGGGAACTGAGGGAGATGATGGCTCGGGCCCTGCGGCGTCGCCCGATGACAGACTGAGGATCCCCTATGCTAGGGGGAAGTCGTACCTATCGGTCACGGAGGACGTTGATGCAGGTATCTGCGCATAACTCTCGCCGACGCGTGATCATAAACAACTCCGACCTGAGGAGCAAGACCCTCAGGGGAGAACCAGAAATGTCAGTCATGCACTATTTACTACTCACGGGGGTCCCCTGTACTTCGAACAACAAGAACGCGAGAACGCTCGTGATGAGGCGAGTGATGAAGTTCGAAAGCAAGTTATCGAAGCCCACGCGGCCGGCCCAGTTCCTCCCCATATTGCAGCCGTTCGTGGGCGTGCCTGTCACACGATCAAGGAAAATGCACGTATGGTGCATGACCCCAATTTTTACGCTGCTTGGGGAGCTGAATGTGGGTTAATTTTACCAAGCGATCAAAGATCTCAGAGCAGAGTTTGATTCAGATGATCGACCGGATTTCATCCCTCAGGAGGTCTATAACACGTACTCTTCTAATGCTGCCGAATGACGTTACCGGCATGAACGAGGAAGCGGAGGCAAACATGTTGAAACAAGGCCAGAAGTCCGCCATGATGGGAAGCTCCGAGTTTTGGAGGGAATTCAGTCACCGACCGCACTCCGACGCACAGCTTGTTGGAGAATGCGCGGTGTACATGGCCAGGCATTGTGATGAGTATGCCCGATCGTCGGGCGGGTGGGTGTACGTTGGCGATCTCATTCAGAAAATGACGCGATGCACTCATGCCGCGACTGCCCTTGCAGTACTTAGACTAACAATGCTGCGTTCGGGAGAAGTTGATGTCCTTGGTATAAAATCCAATGAAATTGCGGTTCTTAACGAAACAAGACTGATGGAGCACTGGCAGTCTTCTGAACCCAGACGCCTCACACGACACAGTCGTTGATTAGGAAAATGGAGACACAGTTGTGTTCATAGATCGCTGAACGGGCTTCTAAGCCCATGCCAGTGTTCTTTCGTGCATGTCAAGGACACTCTTGTCTTGCCCGCAGCATTGAACGCATTTATGCTCTTTGCGAGTTTGGCCTGGCGAATTGCCATGGGCACTTGCTACGCGTCGCGAGCTTGGAAATTAGCAAGGAGTCCAGGTTAGACTCAGTGGATTGCGCAAGGCACCTGATTGTGGATTTCTCAGATTGATACCTACGAGGAGCGAGTTCCCTGCGGAATATGCCCCGTGCATCCCTCGCTGGCTCAGCCAGCGGGAGAGCGGCAACGCCCCATTGGCAAAGATTTATATGGCCGCGGGCGCTGCTCCCGCCGGGGGTGGGCCTCCGAGTCAGGGAACTTGGCCTCGCGCAATTATCCCATCCCTATGGGAAACCGATGCGACGCATAATGAGAACTTGCGATATGTTGTTTTCAACGGTCGGGTTGTGGCCCGCCAGAGGCATCGCATCTGCCGCGACGGTGCTCTTGTGACGACGTGTCAAGCACACTTCGATGACATCTCTCGCATCGTGCACTTGATATTGGGTGACCAGAATGGACGCTACCTGCAGCAGATAATCTGGAACGTGATATTTTCTCAAGAGTGGTCGGCGTTTGAGTTCGCTTTCTCGCACGGGTCAATTCGAACGTGGGTATATTTGGACGAAGAGGTGACCGATGCTGGGCAGAGTACACTGTCCGACGAGGAAAAGGCCCTCATGAATCAACGACTGTGGACCGACGATGGGAGGTACATTTGCAGTCGTTTTCATGCTGGGAGGGCTGGTTTTGGATACTGCTTACAATGTCTCGCCCGCGCATGCAAACTCAATGTCCGAGTGAATTATTTACAATCACCTGCCAAAGATGCATTGGTTGCCGCGTGGACCAGCCTGGGGTTGGCTCCAAGGCTTGACGCGCGCCCACAAGGGGATATCATCTCCAAGAGAGTATCTAACAGGCTGAAAGCGATGAAAAAGAGCTTTTCCGATGCGTCAGCGCAAGTGGGTTCGCGACTCAGACATGCGTCTCCGGGCTGCGAAGGCAGGCTGCACGATTGTAAACTCGCAACCGGGGGCTGTTCCTTCCTGGGGACCTGATGGCGCCACGGCGCAGCCGCCGGCGCGTAATGAGCCGTATTTCCAGTACCAGGAGCCATTCAAACTCCGAATCATTGAGTGGCTGAAGTTCAAGCATGGGGATCAAGCCCCGACAGTTGCCCAATGGTGGCCATTAATTTGGACACCGCATCTGGATCAATATGCTCGCGCATTGAAATGTACTGCCCTTGCTGTTTTGATTTGGATGATGGTAGTGCTGATGGCATTCGTCCAGAGACAGGCTGGGAGCAATGGGAACGAGAAGTGGAAGGGAAAGGAGTCATCCATCGGTTCAAGTGCTAACAGAAATTTCTAATGAAGCCAATGGACGTTCTACACCGAGAACAGAGTTAGAGACATAGACTTCCGGTTTATTCCTGAACTCCATCATATCAGCCCAGCCGTACTGATGATATGATAAATACATGTGACGGAAAAGCTGCGACGTCGGACGGCATATGCAAGCAACATATTGCTCAGCGTCAGCAGCTGATCGTCCCGATGCTGACTCGCCCCTTCTGGCTCGATTTAATTTCCATCTCTGTTTGTATGTTTCAGACAAGGTACAATGATGACCAATGCGATAAGACAGATATTATCGGGATTGTTACAGAATTCATTCCTGAATATTTATCGACATCCCCGACTACAAAGCCATTGGGCAAAGACATTATTCATGATGTACCGCCTGAGTGTCGATGATGATGATGATGTTGATGTAACTGATGATGATGAAGTGATGATGATGATGATGTTAATAATGACAACGAGGGCCATGATGGTGATTCGGATGGTGAGGATGATGATTTTGATGATGGCGTTATGTCGATTATCACCATCGCCACTCGGGGGCGAGTACGCTATGTGGCACTGCGTTGGCGCTTACATCCGCTCTAGGGTGCATTGGCAACCGTCTTGATGCGCTCTTGGGTTACCTTTGGCGGCCTTGCACGCTCCTGAAGTCGCAGAGGCGGTAATGGTTAGCACTGTTCAGTAAGCTCAAGCGTTTGAGTGGCTTTATCCTTCTGGAGTTCCCCCAGAAAGCCACAACAATGGTCCCTGGGGCCATCAAGGATGTGCTGAAGGCCTGGATTTGCAATCTTGTTTGGGGATAATTCGGGTGACAAGTTCTGACCCAGTCCGGAAACGCCCTGCGCCCGCGAGCCGGGTCTTCCGTGCGCCCCTTCCTTCCGCCCTCCCCCTTTCGAGCGCCGGTGTGTTCGCAGGCTCATGCACCGGAGGCTTTCCAAGGCCCAGAACGGGCCCAAAGCGTTCAGCAGATTCGATCCTCGTTCCATGAGGGCCCAGCATCGCCCAACAGCCTTCGTTCTCGAAACTTGACCTTCGATCCCTCTCCCTCCCCCCCCTGCTGCCTCTCGGCCGAGGAGCGGGGCCTTCGGGCGGCAGCGGGGCCATCCTGGCGCGCGCGCGCGCGCGGCATGGCGGCGCGCGCCTCCCGGCGCCCCCCCGGGCCCCCCGGGGCCTTCTCCCCCGCGCCCGCTCAGCCCCTCTGCCTGGGCCACCCGCGCGAGCCCGAGGGAGGCGCCGCGGTGCGGGCCCGGCTGGCGCGATGGCCCCCCGCCCGCCAGGCTGCCGCGGCCCGGGCGCGGCGGCGGAGGGGCCTGCCAGCCCCAACGGCGACGCCGACGGGGCGCCAGCGGACACCGAGGCCAACTGCGTCGCCCCAGGGCTCTTCCTCGGGTCGGCGGCGGCTGCGGAGGACGCAATCCTTTGGGCGCAGAGGGCACGTGGACACCACCACCGTGTCAGGCTAGGGCTATCCTGGGCCTCAGGATGGTGTACATATCGTGGCCTCGGCAAGGAATCGCACACACCGACCCGAAGTCCAGGGTGGGCTTGGACAGGAGTGGCGTAGGCCTACAGTTGGCGACCTCCTATTTTGGGCGTCCTGGAAAATCACACCATGAGCGCTTCCGTCGCGGTCTCGGCCCCCAGGGCCAGTGGTCGGGCCGGGCTCGGCCGCGGAGGACGCATGCATGTTTGGGCGCTGCGTTTCGCCTTTAGCCCGACCAGCGCCTGATCGCTTCCGCACCTTTGCCTCCGCTGACTTCAAAACGTTGGGCCTCTGCAGAGCAGAGAACCGACGGGCGTTTTTGTTGCGGTCTCGGCCTCTGGGAGGCAGCTGGCGGTGACCGTTGGGGGCAGCCGCGGGGGGCACGGGCCTCTGGTGCGGGCGTTCTCGCCGCTGTTCCTCGGACTCCAGGGGCCGCTGTCGGGCCCTGCGCGGGTGGATCGGCTGCAGAATTGGTGGATCGGCTGCAGAATTTTACACCCAAGTTTTTTTTTTTTTTTTTTTTCGTCGAAGCCATGACAGATGCGTAGAACGCTCGGTATTTCCATTTGTTTACGTTATGTGGGACATCAAGTTTGGGGTGAATCGATTATGTAGTCGATCCTCTACCCCAGGGGTGGGGGGCAGCCTTCCAAAGGTCCACGTCGTGAAAACAACACGACGAAGGAGGTGCAGGCACATTTAGAAGATTTTTTGAGGTTCTCGGAACGGGAGGCGGGGCAGATTTTGAAGTGTTCACGTCCTGAACAAAGCATGGCGAAGGAAGTCCAGGCATGTTGCAGTGGTTTCTGGAGGTTTTCGGAGGTCGGCGCCACTTCTAGTGAGTGGAACCCGACGGAAGCTTCGAACTGGCGGCTCTGTTGACCCCATCGACCTTCAACGGGCCATGTTGTGGTTTGTGAGCCGCTGGGGGATCACATGGTTTTCCACGATTCGATGACGCGCCTGCTCGTGGCATCGATCGCTCATTGTGGGCACCCCCAAAGACAATTCCCCTGGTCTTGCATCAGGCTTGCGTCAAACTTTAACGCCTCGCGTATCCCCATCAACCCGTCCAGGAACGATGCCTAGGGCCTACGTATGGGTGAGCAAGTGGACATCTGTGTGTGTGTGTGTGTGTGTGTGTGTGTGTGTGTGTGTGTGTGTGTGTGTGTGTGTGTGTGTGTGCGTGTGTTTGTTTGTTTGTTTGTTTGTTTGTTTGTTTGTGTGTGTGTGTGTGTGTGTGTGTGTGTGTGTGTGTGTGTTTAGGCCTCCTATATGGGGTCGGCGTCGGTTGGGTCGGAGGATCGCGCCTCATCGCCGATGCATCGGCGATGCATCGGCGGCGTCGGCGATGTATCGATGTCGTCGGCGTCGAGAAAATTAAGCCCCACATCGAGCCGCATCGCCGATGCATCGCCGATGCATCGCCGATGTATGGGCGATGCGGCGAAATCCTCCGACCCCATCTACTCGGACCCCATCAAGGAGGCCTCTAGTGTGACACGCTTTCCATGCTGCTGCCTGCTCTTCGCCCATCTGTATTTGAATATTCTGGATCATGCGCTTTGACCATTCAGCTGCATTCATTTGGATGCAAGCAAGATATCAGCGAATCAGACCACATTAGTGGTAGCGGAGCGGTTCGCCCATCCTCGGGAACCGCTCCAGCCTGGCCGCGCCGAGCAGCAAGCTAGCTGGCCTCATCCTTCGCAGCGCGACAGGTTACAGCAACGCAGGGTTTCACGTTCCTCGTGTTCCTCATATGGCCGCTCGTGCGATGGTGGGTCGGCAGCCCGACTCCCGCCATCAGCAGCTGAATGGATCCCAATCAGATCGACAGGAAACGACGGAACGTAGAAGCCCTACTCGGAAGGGGTGCAAATCACACACCCGAACAGGTAAGAATATCACAATTGCCAAACCGCCCGAGGCGAGCCTAAGCAGGTCACCGTGGGTGCGGAAAACGACGTTGTGTAGAGTCCATTATGGTCCAAACGACCGCACCTGTAAAACCAAGGCAACACGAATTGGACAAGCAAGTGGAGCCTTTGCTGGTGGAGCTTCGGAGGACGGCTATTGTTTTGTACGCATTCAGGATGTCGGTGTGTGTGTGTGTGTGTGCGTGTGTGTGTGTGTGTGTGTGTGTGTGTGTGTGTGTGTGTGTGTGTGTGTGTGCGTGTGTGTGTGAAACATCGCAACCGACCCGACCGGGAGGACAGCTCCTTTCCGAGCTGGGACGGCAACCCAACGTCGTGGATCCATTTGAGGAGGAGGCCCGCATATGGAGTGGATACCTCAGACTGGACCTGAAATGTCCCCAAACCCGCTGTGCCCAACGAGGCCGACAAGGATGGCCACCAAGAAATCTTGGAGGGAACAGTTCAAACGGACTACGAGCACGGCTTTCGTAACCCCACGGAGGCCCTCGAGACTGTGTGCCCGCCGAGAAAAAACACACGGGGGCGAGGCGATGGCCGACTTCGAGGCGACAAAGTACAAAATAAAGGCCCAGATGCGGATCTAGGACGACATCGCAGTGTTCGGCCAGGGAGGCACCCGCCTTGTCGAAGACGAGGTCCATATCACCGTCGTGCTCGGCTACTTCGACATGCGGAAGCTTAACGCTAGCAGGGGCCAGCGCGAACGCCTGATCGCAACCCTACTAGACGAACGCTTCAACCTACGAGATATTCAGACGGCATCGATGTTAGCATGTCCAAACGTGTATGTATCTTCGTGAATGCGGTCGGTTACCCTTCAAGCCCAAAGGAGGTCCAAACTGAGGCGGACAAGGCCTGCCACCACCCGAGCAGGTGAACGTCCTCGAGCACGACTACAAGGAGGACGAGTTCGACGAAGGAGTTGATTCAGGCGGCGGTGGAGTCGAGGAGCTCGTCCAAACGGAGCTCCAGGCCCTGGCCGCCGAGCTCGGCGACGCCGGCGATGAGGATCTCGACAAGGTGCAGCCCGACGCCGTGTAATAGGCTGCGGTCAGCCTCGCGGAGCTTCCAGGGGCCCTCACCATATGTTAGCCGCGCGCCTGACAACCTAAGGCGTGGCGGTTCACCTGGAGCGGGGGGTCCAGCGGTTGCGCCCTTGTCGATGGGTTGAGGCGGAGCCCGAGGACGAGCTCGTCAAGGTGGTCGATCGGGACACCCTCCACATGCGGCTGAATTGTCCAAGGTGCAGAATATTTGTCGAGCGTTGCCGCTGGGCTGGGTGCCCAGGGAGTTCCATGGGGCCTCTCAGGTCCAGGTCGCCGCCGTCGCCGGCGGTGCCGAGGAGGGAGGGGGGGGGGTCTGGGTGTACTCGTTGTGGAGCTGTCCGCCCCGTCCCGCATCGTCGAGGGCGCGATCGCGTCCAGCCGACCTCCCGCGTGTAGGCAGGGTGCGGTCGATTCGGCGTGCGCGCGCGGCGTCGTGGGGCAACCGTGGTGGAGCGATTATTGCAATGCGCGGCCCTCGAGGTCCTGGGCCTGAACAGGGAGGTGATCTACGAGGCGGCCAACGAGAAGTTCAAGTTCGGGGACTGCGCCGTGGTTAGATTTATCATTGCCCATGTTTTCATTTGCAGTGGCCAAGATGCCGTGCTTCGTTGAGGCCTGCGTGCTGAACATCCCTTGCTTCATGTTGCTGTTTGGACGTGATGACCTCGGGTCAGTCCATGCGGGGATCAAGACTGCGCCGCCAGGGGTGATCGCGAGTGGCGGCGTGGAGGCGCCCCTGTCAGTGAGAAGGGCCGCGGGGCTTTATGCTCTGTCCCTGATTTGCGGCTCCCGCGCGGTCGGCAAGTCTGCCGCGAAACTGCGGGAATAGATAGGCGCCAATTTCGAGAGGCATAAGGTCATCGAAGAGGCCCCATCCAGACCACCTCATGGCCAGCGAGGGGGCGACTGTGCAAGCAATGTAGCATCCACGTGCTCATGTTGAGGAAGCTTCTGTTCGAGGTGTGAACGAGATGGGGCTTGCCCGGGATGCGATCATAGCATCGGGAATTTTGGGTTCGCCGAGGTCAACTACTCGAACCTCGTGCAGGGCGGCAGCTGGAGTTTCGCGGGGCGCGGCGAGCTGGAGCAGGACCTAGCATGTATCGCGCTATCACAGCGTGGCTCCCGACTGAGTCAAGCGATTCGTCAAGTTTGACCAAGCAAATCATGCTTGTGGGCAGGCAGTCGCAGCCGTGCGTCGGGGGCGCCCGAACGGCTTCAGCTTGTTGGAGCTGTCGTGCGTGCCTAATGGCCTACTCGGGAAGCAGTTCAGCCGCGCGGGGGCGCCCGGCGGCTTCTAGCATTCACTTGCCGATGTGCGACTTGAGAGAAATGGCGCCAGTGGAAGGTATCCTTGATGGGGTACGGCGCGAAAAGCAGGCGACCGGACCTCGGTCATCTGGATAAGCACCTCGAGGGCTCTGCAGTTTGCGTGCCGGCGTTTCTGGAACTCCAGGGAGCTGGCCCAGCGCGTGCGCCTCGGGCTCGCGAGGCAGGGGAAAAAAAAAGATCCTGTGGGATGTTCTCTGGCATCTGCGAGAACTACGCTCGAAGTCGACTCCGACGGGCTTCGGGCTCCCGTCCGCGACCGATCGGGAACCCGAGGTTCACGCCGAAGGAGCTCGCCCAGATCCGGGATGTCCTGAGATTGCCGGCCGTCTTCGACGGCTGCCAGTTGTCATCGGCGCCAGCGCGGGCGAGCCCATCAGAAAGAGTTTCCGCGTCCTGGTCAGCCGCCAGCCACAGACGTGCAAGCTCTACAAGAAGTGCAACGGCAAGCGCCAGCGCGCCGAGGCATTCGCCGGCGAGGAGCTCGCCGCCACGGGCCGCTGCGCCGCGCCGCTGGTCAAGGCGATCGCGGCAGGATTCCGCGCGGCGCGACGAGGCCACGGCCCGCGCCGGGCAGATCATGGGCGCCATAAATCCGGCAGAAAGGGCC